TGTTAGCTAGCTATATCGCCCGATAGTAAATAACCCAATTCGAATTGCTAGCTAGGTATATCGGGTAGTATATTGAGTTAGCTAGCTAGATCGCCCGATAGTCGATATTTTTTTTCTCCTTGGGTAGCTCGGATAGAAAAAACAATTTTGCAGACGACTGAGTGTGTATTCGACTTTCCAATGGCGCTTCTAGGTCGGCTGACGAAATAGCTCCTATTACCACCTTCAATAAAACAGATTTTCCTCGATTAAATTCCATTTTTTCCGAATTTTGACGTGAAATTCGGTATCAGCATTGAATTCTGCATCTGACGAAATGATAGTCGTTTTTCGACAGGAACAAATACCTCATTTTACGCAACATTTGATGCTGATTCCAAATATGTAATTATTTTTGAAATCTATTTTGGGCAAAAGGTGGCCTTATGGCAACACTTGGCGTGTGTGATCCTTCTGAATAATTCTTGATGCAAAAAACACGTATCCTGCAGTTCATGTCAGAAAAATAATCATTAGCTGTTTTAATCCGAAAGTCAAACAGGGAACGATAAATGATATCACTAGATTTTTCATGTAGATAATGAATATGGTTTTTATTTTTATGTAGGAGAGATCTTATGGAAAAATAGTCAGAACGTGGCTATTTTGTCGATCTCAAGACATTTTTATTCAGCCCGAAGAGGTCATGTTCAGAAAAAGCGCAAAAAATATGTAGGTACATCTGTTAGTCTCCAAATATCCAGATTACTAGGTACCGGTAAAAGATTTTTTCAAGAAAGAACCAGATTGGCGAAATTCAAATTGCTGATGTTCTGTAATCAGAGTGTTGTTTCTCCCTAAAATATTTAAAGAACATGATTAATTATACTGCAGAAACTAACGATAATGTTTCCTAAACAATATACTACTATAAAATAAAGCACTGTGCAACTACGAAAGATCTACCACTAATGGTCGACCTTCCAGAAACTCCACAAAATGACTGGTAAGTCGTTTCTAGTTGAAAGTGCAAACACTTACTTTTTTAGATATTACTACTGTAGAGTCCTACTGGAGAGTGATGTTTCCGGCATCGACGGATAGGCTCAATCCATGTAACGGCTAAAAATAGCCTTAGATTTTTATTTCCTATTCTATTTTATGAATGGATCCGTGCCCTTTCAAATAATATGGAGCACAACCCTCGAGTTACTTCCGAATTTTCGTACCTTTTTTTCTGTCGAGACACGTATCCTGCAGTTCATGTCAGTACAATTTATGATAGATGAAGCAAGAAACGCTTGCAGATAACAAATGAAAAAGAACCTTTATCCGATCTTTTTTATCTGAACAAGAACTCACTAAAAGTACTAGTGTTTCTTGTTTCCGTCCAGACATTTTTGAGATAACTTTGGGTATAGCGTCTTCTTCCAAAGATCACCAAACACAGATCGACGCATACAATAATAAACTTCATACAAATCGCTTCTGAACATACGAATATAAAGATTCAGTTAAAAATGTGGTAGTGGCAAAAGTAGAGAGAAAACAATTTATTTTTCATTAAATTGACTCTTTCCACATCCAATTGCTGTTCTTGTAATTGTTCATCTGTTAGTTTTTCCATTTTTTTATTACCGGGTAATTTCTTAGTTTTTCTTTCTTCGAATGTAAAAATTTAATCAAATTTATATATTATATATTTCTAGCAAATTCCATGTAAGTAACACCTGGAATGTCAAATAAATTTTCTCCATTGCATCACTAAAATAGTATATACTTTTATTAACGAGATTGTTTGTGAAGTATCAACTCACAAGCTCTTCTGCTTCAACATTTATGTCTTGTTTTGTCATTTCTGCTTGAATCTGAAAAACAAAAAAAGTTGCAGGAGATTAAAATACATGTAGTAGTGTGGTACACTTACCAATTCATTAACAGAAGAGTTTTCAATTGATAACTAATAGACTTCAAAAATTTATCGTCCTTTGTACTTTTTTGTTCTCTATTTTCATTTCGCTTTGGTGGTCCATGTACACGATGTTGTTGAGGATTATAAAATGGTAGACATTGCGATTGATGGCGTTCGCCGTCGTCCAACACCGAATCTGATGAGCTGCCGGCGGATTCATCAGTTTCACCAGACGAATATAAAGGTATAAAGATCGATTCAGATATACTCATTGATTATACTTTTGTGGGACAGAAACATATAAATAATATATCTTCATGTCTAGGTTATTTTTATCATGTATCCCATTTCACAAAATTTTATTTATGCACATAACTTTTTTCAAGCACAATTATCACCATCAACTCTTACATCCGTACCGTATTTAGATAGTGAAGTAGGTGTCTATCAACATAATAAGAATGGTTCACGTCTAGTTGTGCCCTCATTGGTCGTACCATATCTCAATCAGACACGTGTCTTTTATAATCCTCTGCGTGAAAAATATCTATTATGTCTTTCATTAATACTTTATACAACTGAATTGCGTACAACAATTTTACAATATCTATCAAATACACTTAATCGATGTAGTCCACCACAAGAAATATGTGAAATAAAAATGGTATCAACTGAACGTCTTCGCGTTGCATGGCAACGTACAAAACAATTATCACCGAAGTATAACCTAGATACAAGTTGGCGATCGAATACACCACGTCTGAATAAAACTGAGCTGCATATTGAATGTACTACAGATCAAACATGCTACGAATTATTAAACGATGTTTTGAAAACACCTGAAATATTAAATGGTTTAGAATTAAAATATAGTACACAGACTGAAAAACAAACACATAAAATAGTTACAATCACTGGGCAGCATGTTATGAAAACGCAAATGTATTCAGAATTGAAACAACTACCATCATCAACTGCTG